CTTACACAATGTCAACCACTCACCCCGTGTACTTTAGAGCGAGCGCTTTGCGAACTTATGCATAAACATAATGATAATCTAGCTATACTAAGCATATAATCAAAGTAAACAATGAACATGATAACTAAGAACATGAATAATATTAAGAACAATGTCATAGCAAATGTAGCAGACATATGAATAATGAAAGATACAAGAGAGGATATAAAAGGCTTTACCAAGCCACGCTCTTGACAAGATCAGGAATCCAAGTAGATGGCTTGCCTCTCTCTAGATCTAACTTATCTAGCTATATATGGCTAAATATTTGTGGAGTTCTGAGGTTCTTCTTCTTGATGGAGGATGATCTCTCATGATTCAGATGATCAGGGATTGATGCCTCAGGGGGGTATGGGTGGCCTTATATAGGGGGAACCAGGGGTCCATTGTCAAATCTGAGCCCTCGAATCAAACCGACCTTAAGCAACGGTGTAAGATTGATCCATAGAGGTGGTAGAGAACTGACGTTGAAGAGGAGGCTGACCCATGGGTCTCACAGGCCGGCCTGCAGATGGGGCCGACCGGCCCCACATGGCAGCCCATCTGTCTCTGTCGCGGTGGTTTGCCTTCTAGAGTGTTCTATAGTCTTCCTAAGTCGGTTTCGTCGCGGATAAACATGATTTAATCTGACGATCGGGTCCACCTTGATGGTTTTCTGAATAAACCCTTCTAAAAACATAGATTCACCAAAACTCATGGAATTTGTCAGTTTAAACCGCTAAGCCTATATTGGTGATCATATTCATGCATTTATATAAGTTATATTGACGTTTTATGATGAGTGTTAACTACCGTCAACATCCATCGACATAGACCTTCTCAATTGCCGTCGACCGTCTCAATGCTCAACACCTACACCTAGCCACTACAAGAGATGTTAGGTTCTATGGCGTTTATATGTCATAATATCTGTAATTTATATCATAGATTAACATTTATGACACCAATTGACAAAAAAGATTGCGTCACCAATCATGTGCCTTAAACCATGTTCTATGTCATTTAGGTATCCAAGATGTGATACAAATTCATTTGTATCTCCTCTTTATTTTGTACTGATCTGCACCTTTTTTAAGCTATTTGCTTTAATATAATTCCAGTAGGGGCTCCTTGCCCCTCCTGTTCTTTCAAAAAGAATATGTGATACAAATGTCGACCTCATAACTCAGAGTCTTCCTGTGTGCATATCATTCTTGACAAATTTCCAGGATGTCGTTGTCAAATAATGTACCTCTCCATATGTATGGTCATACAACTGGACAGCTGGGAAGGATAGATTCTCAAACTCTTGTGGGTGTTGGTCACAACCCGACAACCTTTTTTCTCAAATAAACAGGAGGACTACATATCCTTACATTAAAAAGCTAGCGACCCTACAACTAGTTCAACCTCACCAGATTCTGATTTCCTCTGTACTTGCAAAACTGATGAACAGGGACATTCTGACTCCTATATGTATTGAGTGTTTTGCTTTCTTAATAGAAGTTGAAAGCTTAGTGTTTCTAGTTCTCTTGGTCTTGTTTTTTAGATAACGAAACAAAGTTTTAGCCTCTTTCATCTGGAGATGATACACAGATGATAGTCAAGATATAAACCAAAGCCATAAGGCTCAAACTCTCACGTCCAAGAGAAATTAAAAAGCAACAACATTCAGCTCAACTAAGGAGCACAGCTAACAAGGGAAAGAACTAATCTTAAATACGGTTCCTGAAGTTCCACCCAAATTTCACAAAGATGGCCATAACAAAAGTCTCCCAGCTTCTACAACCATTCTAGAACAAGGGTCGATCCTCATCCTTATGCAGTAGGGACACTGTCTGGTCCAGTACGTCACCCTGAAAATTACCTGTATACAAGTATTAGATTTCGTTTTGTGAAATACCATATCATTTCTATTCAACCATAATTCCCAATAAAGTGTAGGTGCTCCTAGGCAAAATTTGGATTCTGAGCTTAAGATTTAATCCCATTTAGCCAAGAACCAAACAAACTAGAAAAGCTAGTAGGTGGTTGAATGCCAAATAAAAGTGATATGCACAGTATTCCACACAAAGCTCGCGAAATGACAATCAAAGAACATATATATGTTGAATAGTTTCAACCGAACTACAGAGGCAACACTTGACACTTGCTTGCCAATTCCTTTTCGCTAAGTTATCTTTAGTGAGAGTGACACTCTTTTGCAAGTACCACATGAAAATCTTAATTTTCAGCGGTACCTTTAATTTCCAGATTGGTCTTTTGTTTAGACAACTCCTTGCTGTTTCAAGGTTCGCTCTTTGTTTTTTGCGTACCTCAGTTTTGAGGCTTGGAGTCTAAAAGATTTTGTAAACTTTGGCTATGTACATCCACATGTGGATATAGAGGTCATATTTCTATCCATTACCTGAAAATAGTCATACATAGCAATCATACATAAATTAAAGCATAAGAGGCGTAGCAAAGTGAAGCATCACGAAGTGGACGTCCTCATCCACAGGTTTCTCAAGCGTAGGGCACAAATCTGTCATTCATCCCAACCATCATGGTCAAAGTCGTACTTAAGCTCGTCTCCTTAAACCAAGATATTTTAGTATATGATTTATATTGGCCAGCATCCCACCGTTTGATGGTAGATATTGCTTTCGTGGTAAGTGGGTATGCAAGGTTATTCCCAATCATTCAACTCTGTGGGCAGTCCTAGAAATCCATTAAAACATAAGTTATGTAAGACTAACCGTCTCTGTAAATCATTTTCAGAGTCGGGCACACCTAGCTACTGCCTCCATAAACGGTCAGGGGTTGAGGAAAAATGCCCGTCTCTAAAAATCATTTATGGAGGCAGGCGTCCTTAGGCGACCTGCCTCCGAAAATCATCGATTAACGGAGGTGGTCGTCTTAATTAGGACCTCCGTCTTCGTAAATGATTTTTGAGGCGGACATCTTAAGATGATCACCTTCATTAATTGATTTATGGAGGTGTCTTAAGATATCCATCACTGTAAATAGTTGCATGAAAAAATAATTCATAACTTTTTAATATGAATTCGGATAAAAGACAAACTTTATATAAAAAATTGTGGCTCTCGACGCGATCTATAACTTTGTAGTGGAAATTTTTTTGAATTCTATGATCCTATAGCGTACAATGGGACATGCTACCAACACCAGGACACCCAACGCATTCCTAGCTGTCTTCTTATGGCGTGTCTATATATTCATTTCACTCAAGAAGTCTCTACGATGTGATCTGTACATCGACCTCACTTCTTTGCCTTCTACTTAAAGTAATCTTCACTCACTCTGGTAGTCTCCACGATGTGATCTATACATCAACCTCACTGCCACTGCTGTTTTGCCCTCTGCATCGCTTAGCTGCACTACTACAGAAATGATTTTAGGTGACAGTGCCCAAACATTAACGGAGGCGGGCACAAAATCCGACCGCCTCCTAAAATGCTGGGCTATTAACGGAGGCGGTCACATTTATTTACCGAGGCGGTCACATTTGCCCACCACCTAAAATCGATTAACAGAGGCGGTCAAAATCCTACCGCCTCCTAAAATCGATTTACGGAGACGAGCGTCTTAAGACAACCTCCTCCAAAAATGGCCTATTTACGGAGGCGGACGTCTTAAGGTGCCCACCTCCATAAATCTATTTTTGGAGATGGGCACACTATAAGGCCCGCCTCCAAGGCAGAGGCCCAACAGGCCCATGGAGGCCTGATAGCTATCTTCGATATAAATAGATGATCTTAGGGTTTTCCTTCACTCACTCTCTTCCTCTCCCTCAGCCGACTCCATCCGCGCCCTCTCCCTACCCCGCGCCCCTTCCTCTCCCCCACGCCCTCTCCCTTCCCCGCGCTCTCTCCCTCAGAGCCTCCCTCACCTCTCCCTCTCTCCCATGGCAGCACCCACCCGACGCCCACCCCTGCGGCGGCTCTTCCCTCTCCCCCACAGCTGGCGCAGGGCGCCCTCTCCTCTTCATCTAACCACGGAGCTCGACTAGTGGCGCATCCTTCTGCCTCGAGCTCATCCGGCGCACGGGGAGGCCGGATCCAACCCCGGCACCAGTGGATCTGGCGGCGATGGGCTCCACTTCGGCAAAACCGGCACCGGCGCGGGCAGATTTGGCGGCGGCGGGCTCTACCACGGCGGATCCGGCCTGGGCTTCGGCGGATCTGGCCTTGGCACGGGCGATCTGGCGGCGGCGGGCTCCACCACGGCGGATGCGGCCCCGGCGCCGGCGGATCTGGTCTTGGCGTAGGCGGATCTGGCAGCGGTGGGCTCCGCCATGTGGCCAGAGGCGGCAGCGGGACGCGCGGTGGTGGTGGAGCGGACGCAACAGCGGCGGGCTTGGAGCGCGGCGGCCCTGGATGGGCTCGACGCCAGGCCCTGGATGGGCTCGCGTCTAGCTCGTCTTTTTTTTTTTTTTTAATTGATTAACCGAGGCGGGCGGGCAAAACAACCGCCTCGGTTAATCCGTAAATCGTTTTTGACTGCCTTCAAAAAGATTTCTGTAGTAGTGCTGGTATATATGCACTCTATGTCGACCTCAGTGTTTAATTTTGCCCTCTACGCAAAAGTCCTCCTGCGTCCGTATCACTCTTGACAAATTTCTGCGATGTCCCTCTCACAAATAAAGTACCTCTCTATATGTATGATCATAATTCACAACTGCCTGACTGAGCAGGATAGATTCCCAAACCTTTTGTGTGTACTGCAATGGTTTTAGTCTGTCGCATGTCATAGTGCTGGTACGACTTTCTATGACACTACAGCTAGTTCAAGTGTTCGACCACGCCAGGTTTTGATTTCCTCTCCTCACTTGCACTTTTACAAGATCCATCATAGATTTTAAGCTGATGAACAGGGACAATCTGGCTCATATACGTATGGAATATTTTTCTTTCTTTCTCTGCATGCAGGACAACCGATTCTACAGCAGGTTTGTTTGATCAATCTTAATGGCAGGAGAGATGGTCAGTTCTGCAGTGGCCCAGGAGGCTGTTAACCAAGTCTTCTCAAGAATCAAGGAGGGTTATCTGGACAACTCAGATGCAAAGGAGAACATAGAGAGGATGGAGATGGCACACATCAAGCTGGAGGCCGCCCTTGAGACCTCCAACAAGTGGAACGTCACCAGTGCGCCACTGCTGCGTTGGCGGAGCAAGCTCAAGCGCGCCTCGCAGGAGTGCGACCACACTCTGCGCAGGTGTAAGCAGCGCTTGCAAGAAGAGGATGAAGTACAGCAAGCAGTAAGGAGCTCCTCCTTTCCGAAGAGGATTGCTCATACTGCCATGACATTCGTTTCGTCAATCTTTAGTGGCGGTGACGATGATGAGCTGAGAGGATCCACTGCTGCCCGGCGATTCGAACGGTTTGCAGAAGGTGCAAGCGAATTCTTGAGGTACATGGAGCTTGGTGGCACACCATGCAGATACATGTTTTTTGACCCGTTGGTGCGCCATCTTCTCGCTAGCAAAGGAACAAAGTATTGCTTTGTTACCAAGGGTCAACATCTCTCATTTCTTCTACAGCCCATTAGTACACCAGAGCATGGGATGGAGGGTAACCTAATATTCTTATTTGAAGATGCCAATGCTCCAGAAAACAATTTCCTTCTTGCCCTACACTTACGGATCTCTGAGAGTACAGATATAGTTGGGGATGTAGTTAGATGCCTGCACCTGTTCATACCTCACTTAAGCTCAACAGCCGAGGCTGTGAAGACAAAGCTCACCAAGGTACCAACACAAGACTTGTGCTGGGAGTCTGATTCTTATTCTGATTTTGGCTGTTGTATTGAACAACAGAACAATCTTCACACCATCTGCTCTAAATGGTTCCGGCCAAACCCTCTTTGTTGCAAGCAACAAGATCATCACTATGCCCAGGGCTACAATTCCATGAGCTCATCGTTAGAATCATTGTCATGTGATATATACTTGGAACCCGTTATCCAGGTGTATTAATCGGGCCATGTCGCACTGTCCGTTGGGAACAACAGGCAGAGGGCAGCCGTCGATGGTGAAAGCAAAACAAGCCCCATGACAGACTTTCCTTATCTGAAACTTGGAGTGCATTTTTGGCCCCATGCCTCATCTGATGATTTGTCGCCTACAGTCGACGGTTCAGCAACAGAAATAATCAACGGGATGGCCGTGCAACCTGGCATGTATGCAAAAATTTCCTTTGAACAGCTGGGCGCCATTATAATACCAAAGGCAGTAGATTGCCTTAGTAGGGATGTGGCAACTACCTCATATCAGATTCTATGGAAATCTAGGCATGGCGGCGCATACCTTCAGGTTGGGAAGACCTCATGGAGAGGAACCACTCAGAAAGACCGAGGTAGAAAACAACCTAAACGATGCCCGAGCAAGAAGGTGCAAGGATGGGCAAGTGTGAACAATGAGTTCATGTGCTCGTGGATTAGACATGCGCCTGTCCAGTTACAGGACTCAGTGGTGGACTGGATTCAGAAAGAAAGGCGACTGCCGCTTCCGTTATTATTGAAAACTAATTCTTGCTTCCATGATTGTCCGATCATGTTGTTTTCGTTCCAGGATCACAGATCTTTGGTAAGGACAATCAAGTCATCCAACACATCCAATGGCTGAAAGACTTTCATGTCCTTGTACTTCAACTACCTTGATGAACAAAATATACTTGAACCATTGGTGTGTGTTTCACAAATATAAGAGTACATAGGGGTTTCCTAAAAGATGTTCTAGGTACTAGCTATTTATAGAGACAATGATATGGCAATGTCATTGCCATTATCAGTGTTGTCATAAATGGCCATGTAGTCTGTTTACATGCTATTTAATCACTACTTGATGACTAGTTATCTCCATCTTTATCCTGTTTAATTGACCATGTAGCAATTTTAAGTGGCCATGTAGCCCGAATAAACTCTAAATGATATAGGTGCCCAATTGTTTACCATTTAGCGTTTTGGTGAACATTGGTCATTATAGTAATGAGTGGATGTAAATGTTGGTGAAGTCTTTTTGTTTGAGTCATTATTCTTCCTCATGCTAACCAGAGGTGAAGTGGTGATGGTGCTAACATGTCTCTTATTTTCTACATTTGCACGTGTTGGAGAGGATTTGGTACTTGATAGTGTCGATGTACATTGGGCCATGGGACACGATACCGGTGTTAAGATTTTCATGACCCAGAGCAAAACTAAAAAATAGAGTCCCCTTAATATAAATATCAAACTATCAATCAATATATAATACTAGGTCCATGAAAAATTATAAAAAATATATATAATGTGCAAAGCTATAAAACAAAAGACAAATTAAAATTACAAATTATTATGCATAACTCATAAATCACAATAACTTATTTTCATAATATATCAATTTATGGCTAAGCCACACTAATGTCTCTCATCAAACTTTGAAATGTGTCTTATTTCATATTCATCACCACACGTTATGTTATGTTTCTTGGCTTATCCTACTAGTACAGTAAATCGTGGTGATGCTTTAAAAGAAATAAAGACTGTATGTTATGTCATGTTTCCAGAACATGAGAGGAAACATCATTATATACATGGAACTCTTCATCTATGAAATGCAGAGTGTGGATTGCCCAAAAAAAAAAGGAATGTTGGAATTGATGTGTCCACTCTATGAACCGCTAGTGACAAGAGACGAGACTTCTAGGCACTTGGATGTATAGCCACATGGTCGGCAATCTAGTCTACAAATTGATAGTAACTAGAGTGTGCATGAACTCTTTTTAGTTTTTATCAACTTAACAATGTCTTTCTGCAAGTGCAATCAAGCCCTAAGTGGGTTTTGGTGATGATAATTGTGCAATTAAGGGACTAATAGTTTTTGTAAGATATGGACAGCATATTATATGATCGTGGTTCACGTGGAAGGAGAAACCGCCCCCTCCTCCAAAAAATAATAAAAAAGGATGGCTTGAAAGCTCAAAGGAGTAGTCTAAATTCATTTTATCTTTGAATTTGAGTATAGGACAAGCCGTACTCAGTGGCGGCGTCAAGGACCGTCCGCCCTAGGCTGCTGACCGGGCTCCTTTGGCGCTAACGCCTTAGGCCCGAGTGCCAATCAAGACCCAAGTCCCCTGTGTACAGACTATAAAGAAGAGTCTGGGAAGAGTAAGAGCCCAACGAGAGTAGCGCCCGAGCTCTCAAAAAAGCTGGCTCCGCCACTGGCCGTACTATAAAGGGGGACATCATTAGTAAGCTAAGATGAACCAAGTACTGTATATCTTATCCTAAACATAAAATCGTCTGGCATACGCTCTGCCAAAGCAAACACTTCCACATATATTCTAGCAGGCGTGGAACCTCTGCCCATACCCAATCGACTGTTTCGTTTGTGTTCCGAATGTTAGACTACGCAGGGTTTTATCTATAAATTGTATAATATATTTCGTCAGTTCGTCCATTCAAAATTATGTCATTTTAGTTTTTCTAGGTACACATTTTCTTGCTAAGCACTTAGATATGCTATATCTAGATACATAGCAAAAGTATATACCTAGAAAAACAAAATAACTTATAATTTAGAACAAGGAGAATATATATTTATACAACTACGGGTGAGCATTGAGCTGGCTGTGGAGCGAAGACAACTCCACAGTGGCATAGAGTGGATATCAACCAATTGGCGGAGAGGCCCCTTGCAGCTTGATCTCTCCCCCCAAATATCACCTCCCTTCTTCCTTCATACCCTCCCCCATTGAAGCGAGGATGATGAGGCACACAACTGCCGCTCGTGGCCGCTACCACGCCACTCCACCGACATGTCTTGTGTTGTAGCCATGCCGCCACCACCCTGTTGACTGCATCTCAAGCTTAAATCATGGCCGAAGCTAGAGGACGGCTCATGCACGAGCGATGGTAGCTACTAATGTTGCTATTGCACGGGCCAGGCATCGATTTGGAGAACAGCGGGTTGGTTCAAGAGAGGAGATGGATGGCAAGGGGATATGCAATTGAAAAGAAAAAGGATACAACATTGATGTGCCATGTTAGTAAAAAAATATTTATGTATGAACCTTTGCTGCACTACTTAACAAGTTTCGATCTAGAAATGTATTTTAAAAGTTTGTAGTTTAAGTGCCACATCATAACAAGTTCAACTATTGTTAGTGTAATTGACACTCACTACCGGAAACGTTAAATTTGCCGAGTGTTTTTGTGTTTGCCGAGTGTTTTCTCTCGGGCACTCGGCAAACAAGTTCTTTGCCGAGTGCTGCCATAAAAACACTCAGCAAAAAAAACACTCGGTAAACAGGTGGTTTGCCAAGTGTCAAAAAAAACACTCGGCAAAATATTTTTTTCTAGGAAAGAAAGAGAAGAAAAAAATGAAAAAAAATATTTGCCAAGTGCCCAGATCTAGGACACTCGGCAAAGTAAAAAATATTTTTTTCTGGGAAAGAAAGAAGAAAAAAAAAAAAAAAAAAAATCTTTGCCGAGTGCCCAAATCTAGGACACTCGGCAAAGTAAAAAAATATTTTTTCCTAGGAAAGAAAGAGAAGAAAAAAATGAAAAAAATCTTTGCCGAGTGCCCAGATCTAGGACACTCAGCACAGTAAAAAAATATTTTTTTCTGGGAAAGATAGAGAAGAAAAAAAAATATTTGCCGAGTGCCCAGATCTGGAACACTCGGCAAACAAAAAAAATCCTTTTTTAACCCCAGCGCCGCGGGCTCCCCTTCTCCCCGCGCCGTCCGCACGCCCCCTCCCCTTCTCCACAAGCACGGCACGCCCCTCCCCCCCAGAGCCTCTCCTCGCGCCCCCCCTCCTCCCTCGGCCCCCCACCAGATGGCCCCGCCCTCCTCCTCCTCTCCAGGCGCCAGCCGCAGCCTGCCCTCCCTTCTCCCTCGCCGGCGTGGCCCGCCCTCCCCTCCTCCCTCGCCGGCGCACCTCCCTCCCTCCTCCACCGCCTCCACCAGATCCAGCCCCGGCGTGGGCGGATCTGGCAACGGTGGCGCATGGGGAGGCCGGATCCGGCCCCAGCGTGGCCGCCCCCTCCTCTCCCTCTCTTCCCACCGCCGGCGCCCCTCCCCCTCCTCTCCCTCCTCTCTCTTCCCCGACGGCGGATCCGGCGCGGCCGCCCCCTCCTCTCTCTTCCCCGGATCCGGCCCCGGCATGGCCACCCCCTCCTCTCCCTCTCTTCCCACCACCAGTGTCCCTCCCCCTCCTCTCCCTCCTCTCTCTTCCCCGGTGGCGGATCCGGCGCGGCCTCCCCCTCCTCTCCCTCTCTTCCCATCGCCGGCGCCCCTCCCCCTCCTCTCCCTCCTCTCTCTTCCACGGCAGGCAGATCCGGCCCGGCCGCCCCCTCCTCTCCCTCTCTTCCCCAGCGTGGCGGGTGGTGGCGTGGTGGTGGTGGTGGTGGTGGGTGGTGGCGTGGTGGTGGTGGCCGGTGGTGGCTCGTGGCCACCGGATCCGGGTGGCTTTTTTGTGGCTTTTTTTTTGTGGTGGCTTTTTTTATTTTTCGGAAAAAAATGTTTGCCGAGTGTATTTTGGGCACTCGGCAAAGTCTCTGCCGAGTGTCCGACAAAAAACACTTGGCAAAGTCTGTTTGCCGATAAAAATTCACCGAGTGTCGTTTGCCAAGTGTGACACTCGGCAAACCCTTTGCCGAGTGTTTTTTAGGCTTTGCCAAGTGCCAGGGGCACTCGGCAAATCTCCTGATTCCCGTAGTGACTTGTTAGAATCAATATCACATATTTTTCTAATTAATGTGATAAATTTTAGGCTCTGTTAGCGAAGGTAGTAACTTTTCTAACACTATAGTAATAAGTAACCACTACTATAGAAAATACTATCACCGTCAGACTATCACTGTCAGTAATTACTTTGCAACCGGTAGTGGTAATATATAGCTTCCAATTTGTGGCTTCTAACGGCAATAATAGTATAACCGGTAGTGAAAGGTGCCTATCACTGCTAGTTTGTGGTTTCAACCAGTAGTGATAGTTCATCCTATCATGTTCTTGGCTTGAACCGTCAATGATAGGTTGTTTTGCACAAAAGAAGTCTTAGCTTTTTCATATGAGATCAGTTAAGATAAACTTTATATCAAAAATGTACAGTTCAAAGAGATCTATAGTTTTGTAGTTGATAACTTTTTAATTTGAGATTGTTTGCATGTCCAAATATTCAATATAAGTTCTCGGATCGAATGTGGGATGGTCTAGAATCTGTAAATGTCAACATCAAAGTTGTAGTACTCAACGAGATCTACATCTTTACGGTTAACATTTTTTCATTTGAGATCATTTAGGGTGTCAAATATACAATATAAAATATAGAATTATGTATTAAAAATAGCATCAATTGTATAGCCACAAGTGTCACGTAGCTCAGCTGGTATGGAAGCTTAAGAGAACATGAACATTGAGATCTTGAGTTCAAATCAGACATAGTGTCTTGAGTTCAAATCTTGGAAACATATATAGAGAGTACATGGTGGGATACAAAGAGGTTGAAAATAAAGAGACTAAAACTCTTGATATAAACTCTTGATATGCTAACAAACCCCCCCCCCCCGGCAGTTGGAATGCCGACACTAGCCTGGAGTGGAGACGTTTAAACTTGAACGGAATTATGTGAAAATAGAAGTAGG